ATATATATATATATATATATATATATATATATATATATATATATATATATATATATATATATATATATATATATATATATATATATATATATATATATATATATATATATATATATATATATATATATATATATATATATATATATATATATATATATATATATATATATATATATATATGATTTTGCTAATATACACTTAATACAAATTTAGGAGTTTTTAACCCCCCTATTTTTAAAAATTTATGTACCTTAGTTATAACTAAAGCTATTAAAAATTCTCACTAAAATAACTTTCTTAAATCATTAAAAAATAATAATAACAAAAAAATATCGAGAATTTTAAACCCGGCTTAAATGATAAATTTGAAAAAAAAAATTGGTAGATCCCTACTCTAAAATACACAAATATATATATATATATATATATATATATATATATATATATATATATATATATATATATATATATATATATATATATATATATATATATATATATATATATATATATATATATATATATATATATATATATATATATATATATATATATATATATATATATATATAAAATAATTTTTTTCATATAATCAAGATCAAAGAGAATATTCATTATTTTATTAAACTATCCCTAATGATTCATAGCAAGATTAAAATAAATAGGTAGGAATGAAATTATATGTAATATAAAAATATTAAGTAAAAGGTGATGCCTAGGATATCATTTGTAAAATTAGAGGTAATTTACTTTTAATGGTATATATCAAGGAAATTTTGTCACATCAAGGAAAATTTTTAAAATTACATATTAACTTTAAATTTTAAGATATTAAATTTATGTTTCTTCTTACTTATAAAATGTTTAACATTTTTTTTAGTCAAGATCCTCTCTATTTTTCATTTTTTTCATTTTGTCAATTATCAAAGTTTTATAAATATAGATGTAATAATGTGGCATTTGATGGTTACACATATTTTTAATATACTATAAATGTCTTCAAAAACTATAGTAATCGAGAGCGGAAATTGAGAAAAAAAATGGAGAGCATTTTAGCTCATTTTTTTCATTCAATGTAAAAATTATTATTCGCATTTGACTAGGGATAAAAAAAACGGGTTGACCCGTTTGATCCGACATTTTTGACGGATTGGACTGAGGTTTTCGGCTCGGTACCTTAAATTAGTACGTCACGCCTAACGCGCTTAAAAAAGAGGGTCGAGACAGGGCGGGGCGGATTTTCTCTGCAGGCTTTTTGTTAAAACTTTTATTTTTTTTATTAAGAATTAAAATAAATTTAATTATAAAAACAACACTTATCTCTTAGGATTGTATTATAAATTATTATATTATAATTGTAACGTTCTTTCTATAACTTTCTAATACACGTGTTGATTGAAAATGATTGAAATAAAAGAACAAATGTATGACATGCATAATATTAAGTTTTCAATATATTAATTCAGATATCTTCTTTAGAAATAGATGTTGATTTTAAAAAAATGAAGGATTTGATTAGTGTATACGTATGACAAATTTAGGATTTAACTATTAAAGAATAAGTTAATATAAGAGTTTATATAATGTAAACAGTGAGAAAGTTTGGTGTTGATATTTTACGCATTACTATTTTATGCAATGTGACGTTTTATGCAATGTTACTGTTATCATTGTTAGTTTTGTGTAAATTCTAAATTGAGTTCTTTTAGTAATTAGTTTTTAAATAGGATTAGGATGATATGTGTTTATTTATTTTGATATTTTTTATTGTGCTTGAGTTTATTTTGTTATTTTGTTGTAATTGATCTTTATTTATTAAATTTTTTGAATTATTTGAACTTAAGACATCTTGAAGTTCTATTATGCGTTGTTAAAAAAAAATTCTTTATCGACCTCTTTGGTAATAATTAAAAAAATTTCTAAATTATGTATTAAATCAAATTGTAAAATTAAAAAAATTAAAAATTGGTGAACCGGCCCGCCAACTCGTTAATAAACGGGGCGGACTTAACTTTTGAGTTCGGACCCCTAAGTTGGTCCGTCCCACCCCACCTCACTTTTGGACGGGTTTAAACGGGGCGGACCTAAATGAGGCGGGCCGTCCGCTTTGCCACCTCTACATTTGACATACGAATATCTTACTACTCAAATATCAAATCATATATATTTTTTTTTTGATTTAATTTTGATTCTATAAAATTTTAGATTAATATGTGATTTTAAATTTCATTTTATGTGACAACATTTCATTAATACACATCATTAAAAATAAATTATCCTCAACTTTAAAAGGGATAATCAAAAATTTACTTAAGTAAAAATATAACTAATAAAAAGAATCATTCATTAATTTCTTAAAATAGAACTGACGTAAGATACAAAAACACACACGGCATTAATAACATAATTATTAATCTTAATAAATAAAATTTTACTAAGAACAAATCGTTTGAATATTATTTAAATTTGATTTTTGATAGAAATAAAATTTACTTAGTGAGTCGTCTTTTTAAACCACAAAATCAATTTAACCAGATCACTATAGAACTATTGATTAAACTTTATATATATATATATATATATATATATATATATATATATATATATATATATATATATATATATATATATATATATATATATATATATATATATATATATATATATATATATATATATATATATATATATATATATATATATATATATATAAAAGTCAACATAATATTTCTTCCTCCATCATTAGATGTCATTTTTCTCAAGTATTTATTTATTTTTATTTATCATTCTTAAAGTGTAAAATATCAATTAATCGTCTCTAACTATTAATTATAAAGTGAACAATATATGAAATAAGATGAGAAGTGGTTAAAAATATTAAATAAAAACAAAAACAATTTCATAAAAGTAAAAAATTTATCAATTTTTCTTGGTAGCATACAAATACAAGATTATCCTGCCCCTAGTTGAATATTCCCTCTTTTAATATACAACTTTTTGCTTCTTCAAATAACTTGACCATTAGCTTTTGTCTAAAATGAGAGAAAACTATACAATTTCTTTTCCTTTTTTCTTTAATTTCCATCCTCAAAATATTGTGACAACCAAAAATGCTTTTCTCCCCTCTTTCTTATATACCTTTTTAACGCACTATTGTGTAATTTATATTAATTAATTAATTAATTAATTAATTAATTAATTCATCACGAGTTGTGTAAATCGAGATAGAGTAGAGTGGGGCATGCAAAGGATACTTATAAAAGGGGTGTGTGATATGTTTATTTTGCAAGAGTGTGTGTCATTTGTTAGGAAGAAAATTCAAAGAACTTGTGCAAGAGTTAGTGCTCACCTCTC